TGCCATGTGTGACAACTTGGATGAATCTTGAGGGCATTATGCTAAGTCAGCTAAGTTAGACAGAGAAAGACAAATACTGCATGATTTCACTTACATGTGGGATCTAAAAAAGAAAAAAAAAAAAAGAAGCTCATGGATACAGAGAAGAGATTGGTGGTTGCCAGAGATGGGGGTTTGAGGGTACAAGCTTTCAGGTATAAAGGAACTAACTCGTAGGGATGTAATGTACAGCATGGTGATTATAGTTAACAATACTGTATTGCATATTTGAAAGTTGCCATGAAAGTAGATGTTAAAAGTTCTCATCTCAAGGAAAAAAAGTTCTGTAACTATGTATGGTGAGGGATGTTAACTAGACTTATCGTAGTGATCATTTCACAATGTATACAAATATCGAATCATTATGTTGTACACCTGAAAGTAATTTATGTTATATGTCAATTATACCTCACTTAAAAAGATAGAAAGAACACATAACCCAGTGCTTGAACTTTTAAGAATTTATTCCAAAGGCATACACACAACACACACACATACACACATGAGAAAGTAGATATGACATTGTTCATCGCAGCATTTCAGTCAGTAGTAAAAAATTAATACCATGGTATTCCTTTACAGAAGATGCATTCAGAATCAGATCCATCCAGGCCATGGAAGACTGAACAGTCACAGAGAAGAATGAGGACAGTCTGTACGACTGATGTCAAAGGACTCCTAGGATCCTTTAGGTGAACAAACCAAGGCTCAGAGCAGCCTATGGACATTGGTCACTTCCCAGGAGGGGATTGGGCATCTGAGGACAGACTCTGCTGTGCATTTTGAATTTTTAGCCATGTGAATATATCACCTGTCCAAAAATACTTAAATAAACAATTGTTAGGGAAAATAAAAAGACAAGGCTGGAGGAGTCATCAGGAGACAGATGACAAAGGGCCTCGAGACGTGGGCTCTACCCTGTGAATGCTGCCCTGTTCTCCTTTTGGAGCTGAGAAGGGGGGTGGAGAAGTCTGAGGAGAGTGAGAGGATGATGCGGAGAGCTACTCACAGCAGCCATGGGGGCTGAGGATGGGAGGGTCCATTGGGTTCACCCACAAGAGAGTCTCTGGTCACTGGGGTGAGTCCAGGGTGAGGCAGGGAACTGGCCCTACCCTGAGCTGGAAGAGGCCCTGCTTCCTACAACTGTTTCTTTGGAAGACAGTGACAGTCAAGTTCTGTGGAGAGTCTGGGACAGAAAGACATGGTGGCCCTGCATCAGTGGTGAGGGCTGGGTGTACATGGGCCCTTGTCCCCAGGAGCTGCATAAATGGGACAAGAGTGGAGGTGGGCATCCTTGTGACCCCCTCCCAGCCTGGATTCTGGGACCCAACACCAGTGTCTGAGGCCCTAGCCCCCATGCCTACTGCCTTCAAGACCCCAATAGGGTACCGGTTGTTTTGGCCCAGGACTCACAGGACACGTTGAGGTGGATGGTCCTGGTTGTGAGGATGTCAGGCATGTGAGTCAAAGCTGGTGAGGTGACAGGGAGACATGGGGGTCAGGAAGGAGGTTTCGAGGTTCGGCCCTGAGAGAAGCCTCAGACTTTGGTCCAGCTCCTCCTTCTGAGCCCTGACACTCTGTACCCCTCAACCCTCTCCTAGGATGGAGAGTCCCATCCCAACCCTGCCCTGAGACCCCCATGTCCTTCCCTTGTGGCCTCTCCTGGAACCCACTGCTTACCCGTCACATGCACGGACAGATGGTTAGATATGTAACTCCATTTTCTACTTCCTGTCTCCACTCGAAAAAAGCACAAACTGTTGTGCCTCCTCCTGGCATCTCTGATGTCCAGGGAGCAGTTGTAGGCCTGGGGTCCCCGAGGAGGCAGAATCAGCACTGGGTCTCTTGCACTTCACAATCTGGGTTGTTTGTGGCCAGGAGCATCCTGGTCTGTATTGGTCCCTTCCAGGAACCAGAAGCCGTGAGCTGGGGCAAAGACAACCCAGACATTCCAGGGGTAGGAGAAGGACCAGGGAATGAACATGCACAGGCCTTCATGAACCATCCCTGACTCCTGCACTTCTAGCCAGTAATCCTCCCCTGGTTCCCCCTGGCCCTCGGCCGCCTCCCTCCACCACAGCAGGGCCAGCAGCGGCAGCATGTCTGGGGTTGGCAGTGCCAGGCTCCCCAGGAAAGTTTGTTTCTCAGAGTTCTCTCTCAGGACCTAAAAGTTGCGAGATTTTGTAGAGGCTCCAACAGGAAGCTGAGGGTGATGTCAGAACAGTGACCCTCCTCAGAGGAGGAACTTCAGACCCAGACACTGTCAGGGGCAGGACAGCCCATGGAGTCAATGATCCACCACCCACATCCACTCCTGGGGAGCCTGGGCCAGAGAGGGTGAGAGCCTCACCCAAGTTCACACCCCATACAGGGCCCCAGCCCATCTCCTGCCTCCCTTTTGATGTCCTTTCCCTCAGGGGTCATTTTCTGCAAAGTGAAATACGTCCCTCTGGTCACACCCCCCAAGTCACAGGCTGTAGATATCTGTGGAGGTTGGTCCAGGGTTAATATGTAGGGACATGGGAGATGGGAGAGAAGTGGGCTGGGGGCCACGTGGTAGAACAACCCCTCTCTGCTCACGAGGTCACACATCAGTCCCGAGTGCTGCCCCAAGAGTCACTGTCCAGTGGGGAGTCATAAGTGTCTAGGCACCCGGAGCTTCCTGTGACAGGAGCTGTGATTCTGTGAATTTATGTGTTTTGTGAATTTGAGACTCCATTGTAGAGGCATACATATTTAGAATTTTATATTTTATGGGGGGAAACCTAAACCTTTGATTTTTATGAAGTGCCCATTCCTAATGCTCTTTACCTCAAGGACTCACTCATCTGATGTTAAGATAGTGACACCAACTGTTTTATGTTTTTATGGAAGAACTTTTAGTTCTTCCTGGTATATCTGTTGGCATCACATCATTTCAAACTTTCTTAATCCTTAAGTTTCAGTTATGTTTCTTGTCAACGTGGGGAGGCCATCTTTCAGTCATTTATCCTTTCCTTCATTTCTCCAAACACATAGGGATAAGTCCTACTCTCTTCTGAGAGGAGAAAGAGACGTAAATTTGACAGACCAGGACACTCTCCTTACTGTCCAGTGGGGAGCTGGATGAGGCATCAGGAACTAGAAATCTAGATGGAATTGGCAGAAGGGACGTGACCAGGACTGTCATGGTGGAAGGTCATGAGGAGTAGGTGGGACAGCACACTTAATTCATCAGAGGGCCTGGAACACGGGAACTCTCAAGAGGCAGCTGGGATTCTCTGTGGGATGGGGTTGTAGGGAGAATTAAAGGAGAGAGAACAACTGCCCACTTTGCCACAGCGGCCCCATTGGCCTCCATGACTGACTTCTGGACAGCTGTCCCCTTGCCCGGCCACACTGCCCCTCACTGTTCCAGAACATGACAAGCTCTGCCCTGCCTCTGGGGCTTTGCCCATGCAGACCACTCTACTGGGTGTTTTGGTGCTCAGGACACAAGGAATGAGGACCACCAGGCTGGGAATCATCCTCCACTGGGATTTGTTGGGAGAAGAGACTTGCTCCTGGATGTGGAGGACATGTTTCTCCTGCGTAGCTGGTGGCTGTGCAAGAGGTGGTGGGTATCTTGGGACAGAGGGACAGGAACTGGAGGGGTCTCCTTCAATGGCTTTATTGTCAGTTCCAAAATTTCTTAGGATATTCTAGTTGTTTGTTTTTCTCTGCATAGTTTAGAATTAGCTCATCAATTTCTACAAAGCTCTCACTGAGAATATGAGATTGTATTGAACTTATTGATCAATTGGAAAAACTGACATCCCAACAATATTGAGTCTTCCAATCCATCAACACGGTATATATCGCCATTTATTTAGATCTTCTTTCATTACTTTATGCAATACTATGTAATTCTTTCAATGTACAGAGCTTGCATATATTTCATTCAATTTTTTTCTTGTTACGGTAAATTGCATCTTTAAAAAAATGTTTAATTTCTAATTGTCCTTGGCCAATATATAGCATTGAAAAATAATTTTTTCATTTGAACTAATATCTTAACATCTTGCTAAACTCTTTTATTGGTTTTAGCAGCTTCTTTGTGAATAATTATATTTTCCATGGGCATAATTGTGTTATCTGTGAATACAGACTCTTTTACTTCTTACCTTATGATCTGGAGAGCTCTTATTTCTATCTTGCATTTATTGCACTGGGAAGGATCTACAGTATATTGTTGAACAGAAGTGGTTAAAGCAGCCATCCTTGCCTCATTTCCAATCCTAGAGGAGAAAGTTCTGTGGCCTATGGGACTGGCCCCTCCAAGCCTTAGGAGAAATTGTGAGCAGAAACTTTCACTAAAATAGCCAACAAAAGTCTTGACAGAAGCCTGTGTTCAGAGTTCACAAATAATTTTGCACCAAGATTTTGTTAACTGTTTTATATGTATGTTTTCAAGGCTCATTCACAATAATCTGATTAGAAGGATGACTCCCCTGTTTTGCAGAACAGTAAAGTGAACAACAGAGAGATAATGGGACTCAGTCAATAAGTGGTATAGATGGATTTGAACTCAGTTCTTTTGGACACAAGTCCTGTGGTCTTCCACATATACTAGGGGAGTCATTTCATTGCCAGGAAGGCCATTAATTTTAAAACAATTAGAGGCTGAGTGTTATGGGCTGATAAATCATAAAATTAATAAGTCAAGGTCCTATCCCACAAGACCTCAGAATGTGACTGTATTTGGAGACAGTGTCTTTAAAGAAGTATATCAGTGAAAATGAGGTCATTAGCGTGGCCCTGATCCAATACATCTGGTATAGTTATAAGAAGAAGAAATCTTTGTAAGAAGAGGGAAGACCATGTTAGGACACAGAGAGGAGACAGCTGTCTGCAAGCCCAGGAGAGAGGCCTCTGAAGGAACCAACTCTGCTGACTTGTTGATCTCAGACTTCCAGCCTCCAGAACTGTGAGATAAAAATCCCTCACTTGTGTGTCTTGATCTCTGCGTACTCAGTGTTGGTGCCTTTTTGTTCCTGAGGCTTGGGAAATTGGAGGAGAGAATAGTGGGGCTCCTGTTCCTCTCTTGAGACGGGGCTCGCCCCTGCAGGGGCTGGGTGGTCTGAAGGGGAGTCTGTCCAGACCTGGTGCTGATGAGCCTGAGTGGAAGGAAGAGAAGGATTCAGAGCTGGGCAATAGGGTGAGGGAGAAAGTAGCCAAGGACCAGAATGGGATTGGGACTGATGGAACGTTGATCATTTTGCCCTTCATTTATTCAAAAATAGTTAATAATTAGCACTGTCCAATCCTCAGTGAGTATTTATATTAATCATGTTATATTCTAAAAACAAATGCTGGGAGAGGATGTGATTATCATTTTCATCTTACAAACGGTAAAACTGAGGCTAAGAGACATTACATGCATTGCCCTGAAGACACATGTCTCTATACATGCACCACTGAGCCAGGACTCAAATCCAGCTCTTTCTCACTATGGCACCATCCTCTGTAGGGGCCGTGCGCCAGGTGCTGTGTGTGGAGTGATGAAGAAAGCAGACCCAGCCCCTGACACCAAGCAGCTGATGATTTTCTAGGAGAGGCAGGAACTAAACAAATAGAAAACAAGTACATTTCAAGTTTTAGATTTGGGATAGGAGATATTTTGAAATACAAAGCAGGGGTTGGGGGGGCATAGCCAGTTTCCAGACAGGTCCTAGAAGACAGAGCAGAGAGAACGGCTTGCATGAAAGACAGCACCAGACAACTCGCCCATATCTGCTTCCTGCTCACAACACCCTCATGCTACAGATGCATGAAACAGAAACCATCAAACAGCAGCTCAGAGAGGCAAAGACAAGCAGTCCTCAGATCAGGAGGAAAGGGCTTCGCTATTGCAGAGCGAATAGAAGAGAAGGAGAAGGCTGCCCAGAGTGGGCAAAAGAAAGATGAAATTCAATGACAGATCAGCTGTGCTAATCTACTGCAGCCAAAACATGGGAAAGAAAGAAACATGTCTGTGAATAATCATACAGTATTTGAGTATGGATGAACCTCACCCATCAAAGACACAGACAGAGATTTTAATAGAAAATGTTTTCCAGCAATATGATTATTCAATGTTTTATTCCAGAAACATTTATTGAGTACCTGCTGTGAGTTATGAGTCAGGCATTCCTCTAGGCCCTGGGAATGCAACAGGGAATAAAACAACAACAACAAACCGCCCTTGGAACTTACTAGCTGTAGGACGCAAGGATTCTGATTGATAATAATGAGTCCTGTGCTCAGTGTGTGCCAGATGCTGTTTTAAGTACTCCTCACAACTACTCTGTGACACAGGGTCTCCTCATAGTCCCATATGTCACAGAAAATAAACAGAGGTCAGAGAGGGAACACCATTTGTCCAGGGTCACATAGCTTATCAGTAGGGAAAGGGGATTTGAATGCAAGTGGTCTGGCTCTGGAGCACAGGCTTTCAAACACTATGCTCTACTGACTACAAGAGACATTCCTTAAAACAAAACGTTTACTGAAACTTTGTAAGTAAAGTAATGGAAAAGATATGTCCTGATTCCGGTACCCACGATTCCTGATGGGGACTTAGCACACAGTGAGGATTCCATTCCCCAAGATCAACCAGGGGAAACAATATAGGGAATTAAGAAAATTGAAGTAAAAAAGTGACTTTCTGTCTCCTTGTTCTACCAGTTACTGAGAGAGAAGTTTTGAAATAATCAGCTGTGATTGTGGGTGTGTCTACTTCTCTCTGCATCTCTGTCAGTTTTTGTTCATTTGTTTTGATGAATGATGCTCTGTTATTGGGGGCATACGTGTTTAGGATTTTTATATCTTTTAATGACGTGATAGAAGCCAGATATATAGAGTAAATATTGCAGGTTCCATTTATATGAAGTTCTGGAACAGAGAAAACTAATCTATCATGATAGAAATCAGTGATCACTGGAAACCAGGGGTTGACTGGGAAGGGGAACAAGGGCATTTTGGGGAGTGAGGGAAATACTCCATGTCTGGATTGGGGACCTGGTTACAGGGTGTATGCACTTGTCAAAATTCATTTAACCATATACTTAAAATGGGTGCATTTTATTCTGTGTAAAGTATACCTCAATAAGTTCAGTGTTGATACTAAATAAACATGGTGGTAGATTGGAAAATGTAAATGGAGTGATGAATCGTGACTTTGGGATACCCTGGCTCTCTACCAGAGAGCTCATGTCCACCACTCTCCTTGTACCCAGTGGGTCTGACACAGACTCGGTTTGGGCCATTACTCTTCCTCAGTGATCAACACCAGAAGAAAAGGCTAATATTCCAGGGGAATATGATCATCTGACAGATGAAGCATGAATACCTCCAACAAACTAACGGGACTACACACTTATCCCACCAGAAGGAGACACATCAGAGTAGTTGAGTCAATAATTTAAAATGACCACGTGTGGAACTCCGGGGAGTGTTGCATGTAAACAAGGAAGTTCCTACGGGCCCTTCCCGAGGCAGCATCCACCAGGGATAATGTTGAATGGAGCACACGTCCCCTCACTCACCCCGGAGCCTGAGCCCTCGACTGGGTTCACGTTGTCCATGCTCTGCACTGGCTGGGCTGCCTTATTCCTGCAGGTCTTCACTCTAAGGGAACAGCCCAGGGCATTTCAGCCTGGTTATTTGGGGCAAGGAGTATGCAGACCACCCCCTACTCCCTGTGAAGAGCGTGGAAGTGCTGAATGAGGTATGCAGAAGTGGGGCCCCTCTCCTGGTGCTCCCCCTACCCCAAGAGCTGGATCAGGGGCTGGGAAGAGACCCAATACTTGGCCCTGTTGGTTATAGGCTGATTCACACCACCACTCAGCCTCTCTTTCCTGGCTCCTGACTTTCCAACCAGTCCAGTTCCTCCAGCTCAGGATTTCTGAGCTTCTGAGACCTTATGCCCTTCCCATCCCTAGTCTCTCCCTCTGTCCCTGGAGCCCACTCTCACCTGAAGAGGAGACAGAGGCAGAGAGAAAGCAGGGCCATGATGCCAGCTCCCCCGACTGCTCCCAGGACCCACCTTGCCCTGGGTTCTGATTTACCTGTAGATAATTTGAGTTTTGAGTGAACTCCAACCCCAATACATGGCATCCTCCCAACTGGCCACGTCTCTCCCTTTATTCCCTTAGTGTACCCACTCCCCAAACAGGACTCAGTCACTCTGCATTCCATTGCCCTGTAGACCCTGGACCCGCCCCTTCTCCTGGCCACAGGACTGAGGATCTTACACCCCCAGCCACTCTGGTCCGGGCCTTGGGGTGTCTCTCCTCCAAGCTCCATCTCTCTGGGGCTGTTATGGGTTAAATTGTTTCCCCCACCAAAATTCATATGTTGAAATCCATACACACCCTGCCATATTCCCTGCTCCGTACTTCAGAATGTGACCTTATTTGGAGACACGGTCTTTAAAGCAGTAATAGTTAAAATGAGGACATTAGGTTGGGCACTGATCCAATATAACTGATCTCCTCATTAAAGGGGGGAAATTCGCACAAAGAGAGGGAGAACGCCATGTGAAGATGAAGGCAGAGATTGGGGAGATGCTTCTACAAGCCAAGGCACGACAAAGATTGCCAGAAAACCACGAGAAGCTGGGGGAGAGACCTAGAACTGATTCTCACAGTCTCAGAGGGAACCAGCCCTGCTGACACCTTGACCTCAGGCTTATGGCCTCTAGAACTGTGAGACAATGAATTTCCATTGTTTAACCCCCTGATTGAGGTACTTTGTTTCGGCAGCCCTAGGAAACTAAAAGAAGCATCCAGGCCCATCTTTCCCCAGGCATCACCCCTCGGCTGACCACTGACCTTGCAGCAGCACGACAGTGGCACTCTGGGCCCCATAGACATTCGAGGCTTCACAACTGATTGGGAGGCCAGAGGTGAGCCCCTAGCTGAGGCTCAGGGAGCTGTTGGCCCAGGGACCCTCGGAGCTGGAGGTGACCGTGAAGGAGGCGTTGCTGCTGTTCCCCTCAAGCAGACCCGCCCCCAGCCACCAGAGCAGGGAGGGGGCCGGCTGGGCTCGGGATGAGCAACCACAGCGCAGACTCTGGTCATCCCAGGAGCAGGAGGGTCTGAGCAGCTGTGGGGGGTCTGTGGGGAGGGGGGAGAAGGTCAGTGGTGTCTATGCCCTCCCCAGGAACCAGATGTCCTGCCCCGGGGCTCTCCACACTCACAGACCATAGAGAGGCTCACAGAGACATTTTGGGAGCCCAGCGGGTGCCGAGCGAGGCAGGTGAAGTCTCCCCCTGTAGTCCCTACGCGAGGCAGCTCCAGGATGGCAGTGGAGGAGATGGGGGTGGCATTCAGGGCTGAGGACCCCCAGAACCAGCTAAGCTCTGCAGGTGGGTTGCTGTCAGCAACACAGAGCAGCCTCACAGCCTGGCCCTCCAGGACAGGGAGGGGCGAGGCGTCTTGCAGGATCTTGAGAGCTTTGGAGAGAGAGATGCCAAAAAAGAGGCAAAGACAGAGAGAGATGGGGTGGGCGAAGCCAGCATCTCTCTCTACACTAACTCTGAAGAGGGGACCGGGAGAGTCAGGCCTCAGGCCTTCAGAAGAGGCCCAGAGGATTTCCCTGAGCTGCTCAGAGTGTTGGGCAGATGGAAGACAGAGGGCTCAGGACAGGGATGTAGTGAACAAATGCAGTTAATGGACCAACGAGGGGCTATGGAAGCAGGAGGAGCTAACACGTCAGAGAGAAGGTGAAACAAGTGGGATGTGACAGCTTCCTTTGGATTTGGCCAGATAAAGCTATGGGTGAGAAAAGACTAACTTCAGGGAGTTGGGATTTGTAGGGTATTTCCTCTGTGCTCTCCCCACATCAGACCTCAGTAGCTGGCTTCTCACTTATCTCTCACTTAGTCCCCGGACAATTGGAGCTCTAGATCCAGCTAGACCTGCATCCAGCCCAGCTCTGGAGAGAAGAGGTTCTTTCTTACCTGTGCTGTTTCCTTGGGAGATGCTGATGGCCGTGTTCTGTGGAGCATCTGCGACAGAAAGATGTAGCAGCCTTAACACCCATGGTGACTGATGGGTGGGCATTGGGCCTTTCCCCCCAGGAGCCATGGAAACAGGTAAAGGAGGAACCCTCCCTGTTGGACTATCAGGACCCCTATATCCAGCTTGGTCCAGCTCTGCCCTGGACCCCCCCCCCAAGTGACCCGAGTGTCCTGGCCCAACACTCACAGGTGATGTTGAGTTGGATGGTCCTTTCCACAGTCACACCAGCTGCAGGGAACTTCACCTGACAGATCAGGCTGGAGCTGTGGTCCTGGGGCCATGGGGTGAGGGTGAGCACAGAGGAGAGGTGGGTCCTGGGGCCCAGGGAGGTGAGGGCAGCTGATGTCCAGGAGAAGATGGGGGGCGTGCCCTGCTCACAGGCCCAGGGCACAGAGCAGGTCAGGTTCCTGGGGAGGCCAGATTCCAGGGGCCCCGAGATAAGGATTTCGGGCCTCTGGGTCAAAGCTGGTGAGGAGAGGGAGGATGTTGGGGCCCCTTGGCGTATCTTCAGCCTGCCCCAGGGTTTTTCCACCACCGTCCCCACCACACCCCACACCTAGGAAGAACAGAACTTTCATTTTTCTATTTCCAGTGCCTCACACTCTGGGGCCTTTACCTGGGCCGCTACCATACCTGTCACATGCAGAGAGAGCGTCTTATCTAGATACGAGTGTTTCCTCAAGGCATCCTCCATGTGAAAGAAGTAGGTCCCACTGTCCCCCATGTTGACGTCTCTGATGCTCAGGGAGCAGTCGTAGGCCTGGGGGTCTCCGAGGAGGAAGAACCGGCCCTGGGTGCTCTCCTGCAGCTTCTGTTCTCTTTTGTTTGTGGCCACCAGTGAATTACGGTTTCTATCCTCCCCTTTCCGGAACCAAAACACGTGGAAGGTTCCAAAGGCAGTCCAGGGAAAGGAAAATTTGCAGGGCACGAGGACACACAGGCCCTCCTGCACTGTCACGGACTCCCGTAGTTTCAGCTGGTACCTCTGATCCTGAGCCGTGGGCACTGGTGAGAGAGAGAAACTCAGCCTGGAGCTCTGGTGCCTCCCCAGAGTGGGGTCCCCTCTCCCCTTGACCACTCACCTCCCCACAGCACAGGCAGCAGCAGCAGCAGATGCAGCAACATTCTGTCCTCCTGCCCTGGGATGGTCCTCCTTCCAGGGTCCCTCTGAGAGAGAAGAGAAAACTGCAGCTGTGAGAGGGCAGAGGAAGCTGAGACAGGAAGCCTGTGGTAAGAAGAAAGGGCCACATGCCCAGAAGAGGAAACTTCAGACCACAGAGTCAGCTGTGACTGCCCCTTTGAGATCATCCGGGCCCATTTCTGCATGTGGCAGGTGAACCCTGAAGCTCAGACAGGCAAGGGGCTTACCCAAGTGAGGCAGCAAGGAAGGACGAGAGCCCCCAAGTCCTGCCTCCTGGACTCATGCTCGTTTTCTCTACTGGGGAAGCAGATCCCACCTGACCAGCTCCCAGAGTCAAGAGTGAAGGGATGGTGGCTTCCCATGAGGACAGCCAGGGAAAACCTTTCTATTTGCCTATGATCAGGCCTGAAAAATCACATATAGGTTTTTAGCTATGGGCTGAACATCTCTGATCGTTCTATCCACAGACCTACTACCTCCTAGGAAGATCACCTGGCATGTAGGGCTGGTGTCATGACCTTGGGACCCTGAGGTATGGGTGAGGACTTAGGAAAGGGGAGAGGGCTTGGGGCCCAGTGGGGAGAAAAGCATCCTCTTACACAAGCTGCTGACATAGTGCTGTTTAGAATCCAAGATGGTTGCACATCAGGTGAAAGGGGTGTAGATTTGGAGTATCTGGTACAAGCTGGAGAGGAGAAAAAGACTCAGACACCAGAGCATCATCCTGGGGGCAACCTCCACATCAGCCTCCCACTCTCTCAGCCCCATGATCCTGATCAACTCCCCAAACCCCCAGCTCCAGATAAGGAGCAGGTGATTCCTGTCTCTAGGGTTCTCTCCTGGGGACCCTTGGCTTCTTGTCACCTCCAGAAACAGTGTCATATATTGCAAGTCATATTCCACATAATATTTCTCTATCCTAAAGTCTTCCCACTTTCCCACATCTTGGAAAACCTGATGCTCAGAGAGCAATGGTGGGCCCCTGGGCCCCAAGGAGGTTGAGTCAGCCCCAGATTCTCTCTTAGAGGTTTGATAGGGTCTGTGGCCTGAGGGGGATTATGGTGTCTGTTGGCCACCTCCAGGATCTGAAGGTGGGTCGACTGGGCTGAAGTCGGTCCAGAAAATCCATGGGCTGGATTCGAGAATGGGATAGGAGGCACAGGCAGCCCCTCCTTCACGGTCACTGACTGAAGGTTACAGACTGTATCTGCACCGTCCCCCAGGGTCCACTGCAAGAAACAGAGTCTCTGACTGCAGCCTCAGCCAGAAATCTCTTCCTCAGACCTGTTGCCCTCACAGTTGTGGCTGCAGCAGCGGCTGCATCTCTGGGCTGCAGAGGATCATCTAGATTCCCTTCATACCATCTGTTCAGCCTCTCCCAGCTGGGAGGTGAGGATGTCTGTGGGGTGGTCAGTGAGCTGGGGGCTCTTTCTGATTGAAATGTGTGGTTTGTGCCCCCCAAGGTTCTCCCTTCAACCAAAACACCCCTCTCTCCCTCAGGCCACTGCAGGGCAAGTGAAAGCTGAGCTGTTCTCTCCTGGGACACAGCAGGGTGGACCCCTCTTTCTTCCTTTACCCTGAAATGCCACCTCTCCTGAGGAGCAACCCCCACTTCCCTCAAGAGAGATGTGGAGTTTTAGGATCTATTTTCCCCAGATAGGTTTCTTGGAGCCTCCCTCATGGAGACAGAGGAGTGAGAGACCAAGACTCTCCTGGGACCGAATCCTCTCTGTGTGGAACCCACTCCAGGGCTGGAGCTCCTCAGAGGCCTCAGGAAGCATTGGGTGAACTCTTGAATTCATCTGCATGGAGAGACCGTATGGACAGAGGCTTGGACTGAGACTGGAGCCCTTACTCCAGTGCCAGACTTGGTTGAGCTGTTTGAGTTCAGGGTGAGACAGAACTTGTGACTGGGTCCTTGTTCCTCCTCACATTTCCTGTGAGCCCTGCACATACATGTACAGAATGTCTCTGCCCATCTTCTCCACAGCTCCTCCAGCCTCCACAATTCTCCTCCATGAAGTGACTCCTAATTCTCCTCTCCTTACTTATCTCCCTCTTGTAGCCTCTAGGTCTCCCACTGACAGTGACCCATCTCAGATGTTGCAGAACTTTTTTTCCCAACCTCAGCAAGCCCCCTCATGTGCCTAAACACTTTGAATGTCTTCCATCACTTCCAAAGACAATGCTTCAGTCAGCCTCCTGATGTTTCATTCCTTCATTTATCAGACAGACACTGAGGCATATTTTTAAAAAAAATCTTTCAAGATTTGGCAGAGAGCTACTCTTGTTCTCTGTCCTCTAAAGCTCCACTGGGGTACCAGCCAGAGACTAAGTGAGGGAAAGAGAGGAAGAGAGGAAGAGTGTGAAGGAGAGAGAGGGAGAGGGAGAGAGACTGACATATCAGCATCATCAGGAAGAGAGGCCTTTCTTGTCTGTAAGGTAACATGTGGGAGAGGAGAAAACAGGAGCTTTCCCAAGGCAGGGAGGGATTTCTGAGAAGATTGGAGGCTAAGTCTCCCCTGAGAGGCAAGAAACCAAAGGCATGTGAGAAGCCCCTCTGTCAGAATATAAGGTCTTATTCTCTGGCGGTGGCAAGGAGTCTGAGAAGGGCCTGCCGAGATTGGGAGGCACTTATCCTGTTCATGTTGAGTCCCCAAGCCTCTCCCAATTCTCCCATCAGGGTCAGCCCATAGCGGGAGGGGTGCTCTTTTCAGCCAAGACACAGTCTAGTCCTTGGGGAGCAGACCTTGGAGACCAGAAGGTAGGGATGGCATTGTCTGTGGTGCTGAAGCAGAATCGGGTCCTGAATTTAGGAACAACTGGGCTGTGGGGAGAGGTCTGATTAGACAGGAACAGGACATGGGCCTCAGGTTAGGAAAACAGCTGAGTCAGAGGAAATGGACCGCCTACTAGGGAGAAAATTGGGGAGGGGCTGACTCTCTGATTTGGGGCTGGGCTTTTCCTGTGCCCTTTCTCCCTCCTCCTTCTTTGCTCTCCAGAATGTCCCATGGGCTCTATCAAGCCATTGAATCAAAGCCAGCAGCAGCCCAATTCTAGACTTCTTATTATGTGAGAAAAATCAAGCCGTATTTGTTAAAGTTCCTGAAAGTCAACTCTTTTGTAACTTGGAGCAAAACGCATTTCTTTTCTTTTTTTTAATTTTTATTTATTTATTTTTTCCCCCAAAGCCCCAGTAGATAGTTGTACGTCATAGTCGTACATCCTTCTAGTTTCTGTATGTGGGACGCGGCCTCAGCATGGCCGGAGAAGTGGCGCATTGGTGCACACCCGGGATCTGAACCCAGGCCGCCAGCAGCGGAGCACGGGCACTTAACCGCTAAGCCATGGGGACAGCCAACAAAATGCATTTCTAATTGTTGCAATAAGTGGGGAGTTGAAATCATTCCTACAATTCCATTTGAAGCCATCACCACATTTTCCAAAAGTGTCCCACTCATTTAAATCTCCCGATGGCACCTGAGAGCACCTGGTGTGTCTGACTTTTTTCACTTTTGCTAATTCAAGATTAGAGAAATAGTGTTATATCCTTTCTTTACTTTGCATTGATGTGATTATGAACAACCTTTCTCATCAAAGATTACATAGATAATCCTTTGTGAATTATCTATTCAAAGCGTTTACACACAGGGACCTTGGAGTTTTCCTTATCAACTTCTCTAAAGATATTAATCTCCTCCCTATTATTTCTCTTAGAGAACAATATATTTTGCCAACAAAAATGAATCGTCAATGTTAGCTCACGGCCAATCTTCCTCACCAAAAAAAAAAAAAGCATCACTAAATTTCAGTTTAGGTTTTATTGTTTTTGAACTTTGCATAAATGGCAGCATACAATATGCATTTTTTTCTGGCTACTTCCACTTGATATTAGTTTTTTAAAAAAATTTATTGTAGAGTATAACATGCAGAAGAAGACACAAACGGCTCAGTGTGCAGCTCAGTGATTTATCACAAAGCAAATAGTTCACGAAATAGAGTTTTGCCAGCTCCCAAAATGCCTCAACAGTCTATGTTCCCCCCATCAGAGCATTCGGTTCCTACCTCCTCACATCTCAGCCACACTCGCTGTTATCTGCCTTCTTGATTTTCTAGTCTGATGCGTCTGGAGTAGTATCTCGTTTCTCGTTGATTTCTTTCAACTACCAGTGAGTTTGAGCATCTCAACGTGGACTTGTTTTCCATCCATGTTTCCACATTTGTGAAATAAATATTCATGTCATTTGATTATTTTAATCTTGGCTTGTTTTCCCTTTTCTTGTTGATTTTTAGAAGTTTTTGTACATTCTATTTGAAAATCTCTTGTGAGCTTAATAAAGGAAAAGATTTCTCCCATTCTGTCATTTCTTGATTAAATTTCTCTGGGTTGTCTTCTATTGAATGGAAAACTTCATGTTGATACAATCAAATCTATCACACAAATTGGTCTTTTTATTTCTCTGGAAGATAAAACTGAGTATTTATTGAGCTTTAATAAAATTATTCTCTCATTTATGAATATTGAGCTCTGGGGGGAAGAAACACTGTAAAGTGTTGTTAAAAGATGAGTGTCAGAGCATCAAACTTCTCTTATCTTGTCAAAGTTTTGCTACAATTTTCCTGTGATATATATAAATATATATATATAACATGTATGTGTGTGTGTGTGTCACCATATAGGTGACATTAGCCAAATGGTTAGAAAGCAAAAACTAGTGCAAACCCAACACAGATGAAATAATAAAATACTAACGACCACCCTCTAGCTGTACCCTAGAGGGCGTCTCTGATCACAACACTCTGTGTATCCTCCTAAAAGTATCCATGATTCTGGCTTTTACAGCAACCGTTTCCATCTTTTCTTCAGAAGCAGTAGCTGTGAGCTGGGGTAGAGGCAGTCCAGTAGTCCCTGGGATGGGAGAAGTTGCAGGGCATGGAGATGCACAGACCCTCCTGCATTGTCACAGATGCCTGCACTTGCACCTAGAATCTCCCATCCTGAGCCTGGGAGTCTGTGGGAAAAGGAGTGTCAGCCACAGGCCCTGCTCCACAGGGCCCCTCTCCCCTCAGTCTGCTCACCCGCACACAGCAGAGGCAGCAGCAGCTGCAGCATCTCTGAGATGGAGGGTTCTGGATGTCCACCCTATGTCTGAAAGGAGA